CTAGCTGGTACTGGTACTCAGAGAAGTCATTTGAGATATGCTGCATGGAATAACAACAAACATGCAGAAAGTACTCAAAAGGACAGGTCCATTCTTTCACTTAAGGGGAAAATGTGAAGGCAGCCTGAGGAGCTATGTCCTTCTCCTTTTTTCAACACTCTACTCAGTCGGATGCATAATGTTGCACACAGAACTGGCTTGCAGAAGCAGGCAGAAATGCATCATCTTATCACTCCTTCCCTCTCGCACAGTCACTGTTATACCTGTTGTTATCCTCTTCTAGCATCGGATTTGATAAGCTGAGTCTCCAATACAGTGGGTCCTTTTGCCATAAAATAAATAGCACCTTGGAGGGAAAAGCAGTTTCATGCTTTGTACATCAATTGGGAATAATTGGGATAGAGGAAAAAAAAACAGGAATTACGTGTTCTGTAATGTCCCTGCTGAGCAGCTGCTCACAGTGCTGAAGGTGAAGGCAGGCAAAAAAATCTTCCTAATGGCTGTTTGAATTGACTGGCTGAAGCTAATAGCCAATTGCCAGCTTACTCTGCTGGAAGATGTGGGCTAAGATAGATATTTCTGAGACTTAATAAATTCCCATAGGCCTAGGAGATTGGTGTTTTTTCACCTGTAAAGTCGCATTTCTTACATGAGACGGAGAGATACATTTGGTTACATAGTAGGTAATTAGGAAGTGTAACAAGCAAGGAGGAGTGCAGAGCTGGAAAAAATATCAAATTTCTCAAGTGCATTATGTGTTAGCTTTAAAATGTGGTCCAAGGAGACGTGATTTTGACTGTTTGTTTTAGAACTCATCCTAAATCATTCAGAATATCTCTCACTGGGCTGAGTTTTCTTCTTACAGTGACTTGGGCCGGTAAAAGAAAAAGGAAACTGCCTGGGCTGTTAGATGCTAAGCCAAGGCTGTTTGGGTTCATTCCTAGCAACATCACAGGCTTGTTAACTCACCGAGGGCCTGCCAGCTGGCTTCTTTGTGCCTTAGTCTCTCACCTGAAAACAAATGACACTGCCCTTTCTCAACATCACGTGGTGTGTTCTGCAAATAAATACACTGAGAATTTCGATTCTCAGCTCAGATACGCTCAACTAAGTACCTTAGTTGTGTGTATCATTGGTACCTAGGTAGTCCTTCAGAAGGGCACTGCCATAGAAGCATCCCTCAGCTGGAAATGCAGCTGAAACGTCATGCTCACCGTGATAAGGTCCAACTCCAGGTTTACACTTACGCTTACTTTCTGTATTTAGAAATATAATACCTGTGTGGGAGACAAAGGAACGCAGCTCTCCGGTGGTCAAAAGCAACGTATTGCCATTGCCCGAGCTCTTGTGCGGCAGCCCCGAATTCTGCTGTTAGATGAAGCTACCTCTGCACTGGATGCAGAAAGTGAAAAGGTATCTTGGCTTCGCAAATGGGAACTGGGATTTACAACTTGGCGGGTCATGCTGCGGCTCACGTACTCACCCACGTTAAAACCCAAAGTTGGAAATATACGATTTTTATAAAAACAAATATCTGTATTTATTCCTTATTTGCATAATGAGCCCAAACGTCTCTTATTCAAGAGTACAGGTGTTTTTGGATAGCAGTAGGAGTCACCTTAGGAAGCAGTGCAGAGGATGTGCCTCTGTGGTGGGAGCTTTCCAAGACTCCAAGTAATCAAAGGCCTGTTCAGGAAACTGTTCCCGCATGGGCAGTCCTACATTTTTGACTTGCACTCTTTTAGAAGTTTGTGAGATAGTCACCTACATTTTGTGAATAGAGCAACAGCACAAAGGACAACAGGAGCATGGGACTTCAATAAAACGCAGGTTGTAGGGGAAAACCGGGACAGAAGTAGGGAAACACGTACCATTTCTAAGAGTTATGTACATGACCAATCCAGAACAAGTGTTTTGATATATACTTATACGAAAATATACCCTACAACCAAGAAGCTCTCTTTTTGTTAAAAACATCAACCTCCCTGGCCCAAAGATTCAGTATTTACCAAGTTCCTTTATAATTTTACTGCAGTTTGGCTTCTTTGTTATGGGCCTTTAAATCCCAAAACTTCAAGTGACTTTACATTAAAGAGTTTCAAACCTTCAGAGCCTAGAAAAAAAAAAGGGGGTGAAAAGTGTGAGGGTTGAAAGTGTGAGGGTGACCCAGCACACCACACTTAGTGCCCAGAAAATAGAAGACAAAATTATCCAGCATGTTGTTTGATTTTATCCCGATTTGACAATGGAGCAAATTGGTAGATTAAATCATAATTATTTAATGAGTGAACTTGAAGCTTGGAGCACAATTGCTAGGGTATTTTCCACAGCGCTGAAAATGAGCAAGGAGCCAGCCCAATTTGTTCAGAGCTATTTCTAACAGTGACTAAGACCTGCCTGCAGGAGCAAGGAAAGCTCAGGCTGTGATGAAGGCTGTTTGACCTGACTCTGGGTGCAAATGAAAATGTGAACACAGGCACCCAGCAATTGCATTCTGTCCACATCCCCAGCGTAAAAACAGGGAACCAAACAGCCATCAGTGGTGACACATTTTCACTGTAGGCTGAATTTAAACTTTGGATGCTCAGAAGTTGTTCAGTTACTACCACCGAGGCCCTAGAAGCCTCACCTCTCTCATTGCTATATTACAAATTACTTCTCAGATGCTAGATTCTGTGCAGCTCGCTCCTGACAGGCAGTTTTGTTTTTTCTTAATTTGCCTTTTGGTTTGTTCATTGAACAGGTTGTCCAGGAAGCCCTGGATAAAGCCCGCGCGGGTCGCACCTGCATTGTGATAGCTCACCGCCTGTCCACCATCCAGAACGCTGACAAGATCGCAGTGGTCCAGAATGGCAAGATTGTAGAACAAGGGACTCATCAGCAACTCTTGGCTGAAAAAGGCATCTACTATTCGCTGGTCAATGTTCAAAGAGGGTCATTCAACGTATGATTAACAGGCAGGCTGGACAGTTGGTTCAGTATTTTGTATGTGACAGTGTTAAGGATGTTCAGTATTTTGGTTTTGGTAAAATTCTGTAAATAAGTTTCCTTAGCTCTTGTAACTAATAAAGGAAATGCACCTCAGTTATTTAAGAACCTAACCCTCGCTTTGAATGTTCTTCCACCAGCACAAATATTTGCTGTTGCTCAAATTAAAAATACACAGTGATCATGAGAAAGCTCAGTTGATTTATCAAGCTGCAAAGCGAGAGGACTGGGTGCTCAGGACCCGTTGTGCCATACAGGGGCCCTGCAGCACCCAGCGCTGGGCAGAGCAGGGTGTCCGGTGCAAAGGGCTGTGTGTGAGGGGCTGAGGACAGGGACACTCTACATGCAATGAGAAGCTATTTTGGGGTTAGAGAAAAGGACAGTGTTTGGCCTGATTGCAGTCAATTGTTGTATAGCATGCTAATGAAAAAGAGGGTTAATCTGTTCAGTTTGGGGGGGGGGGTCCTGCTTTTTCAAAGATTCATTGTAATTACGCGTTCTAATTTGGCACTGTCTTTCATCACGTGTGCAGTACTTTTGTGAGTGATGAGGTCTGTGGCAGTAAGATGTATGCTAGTAAGTGGCAGAAGAGTTTTCAGAAAAATAGTCTCTGGAAAGAAAAAGACCATCTACTGCTCACTTACACATACCTGCATTCATGGGCAGAAGGAATTTAGCCGGGTATCCTCTCAATGCATGCGCAAACTTGGGGGGCCTACCAGCTTTGGCAACTGGCTCTGTCCCATCACTGCAGAAAGCTGGCTCCTATCCTCAGCTCACCAACGTGGTAATGGCTGTATCCAGCTTTTACAACCTCCTGCTTGGAGCTCCATGTCTTAAAAGTAAATGGTGCCTATCCCATGACAATAGGACTGTACATTTTAACCACCTAAATCTAAAATCAGAGCCTCTGCTCTCCTATGTTCCTTCTCCATTGACCAGATTTGTTTTCCAGAATCCCCTCAGACTTAAAATTTTAACTCCACACTCACCCACTTATGCATCTGTGGCAAATAAAAAGTTCTAACAACTTTCTGAATTTAATTCTGTCTTCTCTGAATACACTGTTTGTTTGCAGTTCCTTGAGCGAAGGCACAGGCAGTACAACTAAATAGTAAATTTGCCTACAATGGTGATCAAATGACATTCCTTGAAGAAATTTATTCTTCCACATTTCTGCTAGGATTACTCTGCTCTCAGAAATCCCTGGGAAAATAGACAAATCAATACAAAATTAGGATATTCATGCTTTCAAGTTGTCTGACATGAATATTCAAAGCAAAATTTGTCACTGCTGCAAAGAGCTGTACTAAGCTAATTTTGGGGAGGTGAAAGGTTGTAACTATCAAACAGAACTTATAAAAAAAATCATCAAGCATAGCTTGATCCAAAATCCTAATCTGTCCCACAAAGTGTCAAAGACGCATGCTTTGCTAAACTAGCAATATCAGAAAGGCATTTAATCTCTGAGGGAGAGAGGGGGTTTGGATGTAAGTAACTATAAGCACTTCAGAATAGGAGTACATTCTTACTCCGTATGAATTCTAGAGCACCTGAAATCAGCCATTAAACAATAAACAGTTCTGAGGTTTAATGGAGACAGGATCTACAAATAGCCCATTCAAAGTTGAGATGACAAAGCAGGCTGAAATGAGGCTAGCTTCTGTGGGCTCTAAGAAGCAGTATAGTACATCCTGACCTGCTACAGAGGGAAGCATCAAGCTTTCACAAAGGAAATAAAAAGAAAGATCTTGACCTTGTTACTGCAAAAAAAAAAAAAAAGTATGTTGAAGAGCTTCCAGAGGGCAAGGAGACTGGTCCTGTGCTAGCTGAGTATGTAAGTGCTGGTGTAAAACAATCCCCAAACTCTCCCAAAACTCCAGCATTTAAGAAGGAAAACAGGGGGGTGGTATTCTAGAATCTTGACTTCAGATTTGTCATTTGTTCCCAGGATCAGCTCTTTCATAAAGTTCAGTTGTTATAATCCATAAATCAGTCAATCAACACAAAGGTGATTTTTGGAAGTGCTTTAATAAGAGAAAAACACAAAGCTACTCAAACAGAGGAATCAAGAATCTTAAAATCCTGAGAAACTTATCAAACTGCATTCAGTGCTTACTTTTATTGTGTATTATTAGTGTAAAGCAGCAGAGAGATTCACAGTTCACTAGGAGATGTAAACTCTATGGAACTTGCCATTAATATCCTGCTTTCTGTTTTTATTTTGAAAAAGGAGTTCTCAATAATATTTCAGATTGTAGTGTTCCTATATAACAAATGTTGTGGGAACACCCCCACTCATGGATAGAACATTCGTTTGATATAATTCCAATAGCAAAAGTGAAAGATAACCCATTCATAAAATAAAGCATAGCCTGATGAAGACAGCCCTTCTATTTCATAAACCACTATGAATAGGAAGCACAATCACCTATGAGGACAGTGTGGTTACTCTGACATACATTTAAGTGCTCCACTGAAGTAAACAATATCTGTAGATTACAAAAGTACTCTACATGTTACTAAGATCACAAATACAAAATTCCATAAATTCTCCATATCCAATGCCATGTCTCTCAAATACACTTGCATTGTTGAGGCATACTTTAATATTGCATAGTTCTACACAGATAAGGTACTACTACTTGCATTGATGTTGCAAATGGCTACATCACTCTTAAATGGGTACTGCTACCAGTAAATCCCATAAAAATAGGTAGACTTAATAAAGATCTTTAAATGTCTTAATATGAATATAACAGTTTTCTTGCCTAGCATTTCATTTATAAGTACTACACATAATTTGTGAGCTTGCAAGGGCTCTTTTACATCATTACCAACTTTACAGCTGAGCTGTAATTGTTAATTGTAACATGTCCTGAAAACACTGGAACACAGTTCTACATAGCACTTCCGCATCAGTCTCTGGACATGATTTCCAGGAAGAACAGGTGACAACAATCCTATCAATATAGAAAACAATAAAATTATCACTCTTAACTGTCATGGTCTAGAACAAGTTGCACTAATTGTCCTGAAATGTCATATTATCGACACACATTCTGAAGCCAAAACTGTCATATAAACATAGCGGTCAAAGGAGTTAGGCATCCAGACCCCCAGTGCCTTCAGTAAGCAATAATGCTGACAGATCCTGAAAACAGTAATTTTTTCGACTTCAATACTCACTTCTATATGCATATTTAGTTGCATCGCTCTTCTGCTTTGAAAATACTGTGAATTACACTTCTTCTCTGCAACTAGTGTAAGGTTTGAAGTACTTTTTTCTATTAACCCAATGAAGGTAAACCTAGACCTAGACCTATTTATCTATACAGAGTGATAGGTCAAAGTAGGAATGATTTGTAGTCTCAGACTGAATACAAGCTGCACAAAATTCATATTTAGTTTTAAAAACAAGTCACATAAATTACACCTAAATCACAAAATAGCAAGTAATCTCAATATATTATAAATATAATCAAGTAGTTTATTACATCTGATGAACAAGCAATAATTTTCGTCCATAAGACTAAAAAGACAAAATTGGTTCTTTTCAGATTCTACCATTTTATAAAAAGTGAATCCAGATGTTTCAGCTTCTCCTTACTCAGAGGTCTGCTTTGAGTCACTGCCAAGAGAGATGGACGGTGCGTTCCCCCATACTCTATAACCATCTGTCAATTACTACTTTTTAAAAACATACTTGCATGTGTTCCTTTAATGGTCTCTAAAAGTAAAGCTTATTTTAAAATAAGCTAACTTTTTCTGTTCCTCCTTCTTTCATCTTCCTCGCTCTTTTCTTTCTGCTCACTGTCTGTACCTCGGTACTCACCTCACTGCCACTGTTTGTCCTTCCACCCTCCCACACACTCCTTCCCAGAATGTTAATGCCTCTATTCTCGTTTCTCATCTACCTCACTTCACAACCCTTTCTGACACTTCAACCTTGTTTCTTCTGTCTTTTCCTTCCCTCATTCTAGCTGTCCTTCTCCTTGTGATACTGACAGAGCTAAACCCAAAATGAAATTGTATTCTTACCTGTCATTTCTGATTGAATAAAAAAAGCCATAGCCATGATGCACCATAGGAAGTGCAGATCCATTAAAACTAGTGTAGCCAGTCAGACTAGTTGAAAGAACGAAATTCCCACCTCCTCCACTGTAAATTAACAATAAATAAAAGCAATGTTTTTAAGGCTAGCTTAAAACAAAGTGACCTTTACAAAAAAGTTATTTTGTTCTGCAGATCACGGAATCAGCACACTTAATGCCAATTTAACAAAATCTTCAGTATCAAGGAATTCCTCTCAAGACAAGACTACCAATTACCTAGTTGCAAACGCAGTATCCACAAAAAGTTCTGGCACTGGGAGTCCTTGCTCCTGTGCTATGAGTAGGAGACCCAGAAGATGACGATCAAATCCTGTCAAAGAAATGCAAATACTGCATCATTAAGAGCACCGTTTCCTGATTTTCTGCTTTTCCTGGGCTGGATAGCTGGAAGCTCAAAGAGCAAGTCAAGGACAGATAGATGACTGAGCCGTGCAGAAAAATCCAACAAGATTCAGGCTGCAGTACACAAAAACACTTCCCAAATGTTTGATCTAAGGCCTTCATCACATTCAGCTTGCAACACTTAGCTCAAACGCAAATGAGCCAAGTAACACAAACCCAAAACAGTTGCTGTGGAAAACAAAAACTAAGAAAACTTCCATTTCAGTCAAAGAGGCACACAGTGAAACTGAATCATTGTCAGCAATTACTTAGAAAGGATGAACAGCACGCTTTCAAGGCCACAGTCGCCTACATAACTCAGCAAGAAGGACAGAGAGAGCATGAAGGTTCATCAGGTGATCATTTTTGTTACTTCTCCTTTGTTGAACAGCTTAACGTGCTAATACAGGAGGGACAGAATCCCACCCAATTCTCTCCTCCACCTTAAGAGACTTCATGTCTCGCTTTCCAGTCAAGTATACTATCTGGCCAGAGAATACTCTGGAATAATGTTTAGTAGAACAGAAAAAGTGAATGAATACTCAAAGTGAATTTGTCTTTGGGGCACATGGAAGGGTGCAAAGACTAGGATTTGGTTCTTCTCCCAAAAATTACTTAAATATAAACTATTAAGGGGTAGTTTTTCCTCGGGTTAACAGCAAGGAGACAGAGAAAGGTATCTGCATGTGGCAATATTCCCTTTTCACTCACTAGGAGAACAATTATTTTTGAATATA